TTCATAACATGCTAATGTTGTGGAACAGTTTCTTCGAAAACCGAACTGTTCTGGTTTTAGAATGTTAAAGGCGCTAAGAAAACAATATAGTTTTTCATGCATTATTTTTTCGAAAACTTTTGAGAGCACAGGAATAAGAGTTATTGGTCGGTAGTTTCCAACGTCTTGCCTATCTCCCTTTTTATACATAGGTTTAACAATGGAGAATTTCATACGCGTTGGAAATATACCCTGTTTTAGAGACAGATTTATAATATAACATAATGGTTCTGAGATGTATTCAGCGCATTGCTTTAAAACTTTTACATTTAATTCGTCATAACCTGTTGAATTTGTATTATTTAAAGATTTAAGTGTTTTATAGATGTCCCTAGGATGAGTTGGCGTGAGATACATACTACTGTTATTAAACGAAATATTTTTATAGTTTAAATATTTATTGGTATTATGTTCATTTGTAAGGTTAATAAAGTATTTATTGAATGTTTCAGCAATTTCCTCTGGTTTCATTACCAGGTTGTAATTATCTCTAATTTTTTCAATATGACCAACATCTTTCTTGTTAGTGGCTTTGTTTTTAATCAGATCCCAAGTTGCCTTACATCTGTTTTTAGACCGATAAATATATTTAGTGTTAAAAGTCTCTTGCGCTTCCGAAATACATCTCTTTAGTATTTTACTATATTTTATGTATTGACGTCTTTTATTTTTCTTGTTGTGAGTGGATAGTCTATATTTAAGATAGAGACATCTTTTTACTATGCAGCATCTTTTGAGTCCTTTAGTTATCCACTTATTTTTTGTTACCTTGTTTACTTTTTTAATAGTGATAAGGGGAAAGCAAAGTTTATAAAAAAGTACTAACATGTCATGAAATTTTTCAAACGCAGCATTGGTATCAGTTTCGGTAAAAACCTCACTAAACGACAACGATGAAATACATTCTCGAAACTTATCAATATTATTAGTATTTAAGTCACGTCGTGTTTCAAACCAGTGTAATGGAGCCATTTTCTCTGGGTTATAACAGATATCAAACGTAACACTTTGAGCTGTTTCATGATCGGATAAAGCTAAACAATGTATCTGAGGTTTTACATTTTCTATGTTGCTAACAATTAAGTCTATACATGATGAATTTCTTGTTGGTTTATTAATGTGATTTGATAAATTATGACAGGTCAATATAGACAATAATTTTTTTGTTTTTAGTGTTTTTAAGGATGTCTATGTTCCAATCACCGCACAGCAAAATTTTCTTGTTTTTAAGTTTATGAAGTAATAATGATAAATTACTGAAAAACTGATCTACGTTTGATGTTGGTGTTCTGTATATGCATATCACAATTATATCCACTGACAGTATTTTCACGGCGCAGTATTCAAAAAAATATGGCATCGGTGGTATAAGGTTATTCAGTAACTCGCATTGTAAATGTTTTTTGACCAAAATACACGAACCTCCTCTGCGTTCATTACTTCTGGAAAAATGTGATAAGAGATTGTAATTTTTTAATTTTACATTTGACTCGGAGCCATTCCTTACAAATGTCTCTGTAATACATATGATATCAATGTCATAATTTTGTGAATTCATTTCGCTTAGGGCTAGTTCCAATATGTCCAGTTTTTTTAATAAGCCTGCAATATTTTGATGAAGTAGTTTAATTGTATATTGTGTACGTAAATTATTTACGAAAAAAGTTTTTATTTGTGTTCTTAGGCTTGTAACTGCAGGGTAAAGACATTTTAGATCTATCCCGTATATCCCCGTTATTAAAATAAGATGACGTATTGGTATTTTTAACATTTGTATGGCATCTACATATATTATATTTTAGGTTTTTTATATATTCTAAATTGTAGTTTAAGTAGTCAATTTCTATATTGATTTTAAATGAGATATGTTTAATTTGTAAAAATGTATTATCTTTGTGTCTATATTGGGTATAATTATAAGTCATAAAATTATCTAAGTTTACAAAGGAACAATGTGTATAGTTTTGAGTAAAAAGCTGGATGCCCTCATTAAGCGTTTTTAAATTTAAATTGGAATTAAATTGTACACTAAGAATAAATACATGATTGTTTTTCAGTTTGTAAAGGGCGTTGCACAATTACGAGTATAGAACGTAAGGATTCTTATCATGTGCACCCAGACCTATAATAACAATGTCGTCCTTGTTAAGTGTAGATGTAATATTATCACAGCTGTTTAAAATTTGTGAACTTGTTGCGTTAGGTTTGACGATCCCCGTGACAGAATAAATATCGTTCCACCTGTTTGTTCTCGACTTAATCATTTCTGGAGCTAGTTTTTTTACTTGTTCATCTCCTAATATAATAATTTTGGATGATTTTGTATTGCTATTAGTAACGCCATCTTTTGCCCGATTTTGACAATTATTGCACACTGAATTCACAGTTTGCTTACTTTGAGCATCTGTGGGTTTTTTTATGTCTTGTTTTACAATTTGTAGTACAGGAGGGCACTGGACTTTTCTACGGGGTGTTGAGGAACAATGAGTTTTCAAAGTTTTATATTATTTGGAAGCAGGAGGTGTTGAGAAATTTAAGATGGGAATATTTTTTGTCATCGGATTAGAGGCTGTTCTATGAAATTTTTTCCTAATTTCGCTGAAACGTCCGTGTGCAGTAATTACAGAAGGTATGTCATTTTTCGGAAATATAGATGATGTATCCTTTGATGCAACCCTAGTCAGTTTTTTCAAAAAATCTATTTGTAAGTCTTTTTCTTTTATACTTTGCCTTAACTCTGTATTTTCACTATTCAGACTTTCAATCTCTCGATGAGCACTGTTTAACTGTATCTCCAAATCTTCTAATTTATCTTTTAATTCGATAATCATTGACGCATCCAGAGTTGTTTCTAATGGTACGCTTTTGTTAGTAACATTTTCTAAGGTTGAATGAAAAAATGAGTTTTCTGGTGAGATGTTCGTTAAATCGTTGTGTGAATTAGATTTTTTTGATTGAAATTTTTTTGATTTTTTTGATTTGAAAGAGATTGAACGTGCGATTCGAAGTTTGAAATGTGGTAAGGCTGCGGGACTAGACAGAGTTACTGCTGAAATGGTCAAGTATGGTGGGCCTCGCGTCAGGAACAGCTTCCATCTGCTGTGCAATTTGTGCTGGCGGACGGGGGATGTCCCGGATGATTGGCGATCCGCAGTCATTGTGCCTTTAAATAAAGGTAAAGGTTCACATTTTGACTGCGGGTGCTATCGGGCGATCAGCTTGACCAGTTTAGCAAGTAAAGTTTACTCGAAGGTTTTGACACGTAGGATGCAAGAGAAATCGGAAAGATTTCTATGGGAGGCACAATGCGGATTTAGACCTGGAAGAGGATGCACGGATCAAATGTTTTCTCTCCGCATGATCACGGAAAAGCTTCTGGCTGCTAACCAGAAGATTTTCTGTGCTTTTGTGGATCTTGAGAAAGCATTTGATAAGGTTGTAAGGAAGAAAATGTGGGAACTGTTGCCGGGGTATGGTGTGGATGGTCGATTGCTAAGGGCTGTACAGTCTCTTTACTGTGACTGTAAAGCCTGTGTGCGGGTAGGGCATGACCTGTCACCCATGTTTAACGTCCAAACGGGCGTAAAGCAGGGTTGTGTCATGTCTTCCTGGCTGTTCATACTGTATCTCGACAGCTGTTTACAGAAGCTGAAAGATAGCTGTTTGGGTGTGAAATTGGGTGACATAAAAGTAAATTGTCTGCTGTATGCTGATGATGCAGTTCTTATTGCACCATCAGAGGCAGAACTGCAGGCATTAGTCACGTTTATGAAAGAGGAATGTGAAATTAAAGGTCTCCGTTTGAATGCTAGTAAAACTAAGGTTCTGGTATTTGAAAGGGACGAAGAGAGAACGAAGTGTGAAATATGGGTAAATCAGGAATGTCTAGAACAGGTAAATGAAATTGTATACTTGGGGAGTGCTTTTAGCCGGGATGAAAGATGTGATTTATATGTTGACAGGCGTGTCGCTGCCGGGAACAAAGTCAATGGTGCCCTGACTGCGTTACTCAAAAGGCAAGGCGTAGTGAAGAGTGCACGCCTTGCAATACATAACGCAGTGTTGGTACCGACTTTGTTATATGGCAGCGAAACCTGGGTATGCCAGAAGAAGCATAAAAGTAAGTTGAATGCAGTGGAGATGCGATCTCTTCGTAAAATGTGCGGCGTTACTATGGTCGACCGAAAGCGAAACGAAGAGATTCGCAATATGGCAGGTTTGAAAGATGACCTTATCACAAAAATTGATAAGGGCGTGCTTCGGTGGTTTGGGCACGTTGAGCGAATGAGTGAAGACCGAATGGTGAAGAAAATATATAGCGCGAAAGTTAATATTAAAAGGTGTCGAGGTAGACCGAGACTAACTTTCAAAGACCATGTGAGCAAATTGCTCGAAGAGGGTAGGTTCATGAGTACTCGGATACCTAGACGTGCATGCATGAAGAAGATAATGAATCTGAAAGAAGCGAAAGAGGTTTGTAAGGATCGTGACATTTGGCGATCTGTTCTCTCTGGCTACCCCGTCAGGGATTGTGCGTGAAGATAAGTAAGTAAGTAAGTAAGTAAGTCGTCATCTAAACTAATTTTTAGATATCTCATTTTACAGACTGTGATTTGCATTGCACTATTAAATTTTAAAATAGAAACACGTTTAAGCCATACCGTAACTTATTACATTTAAGCCCAGAAATATCCGTCTCCATCAGTACTTAATGATACTGATAAGGAATGCAAGCTTTAATCCCTAGTATAAACAGTCCACAACACAGCTTTGTCACTATATATTTCTTTCTACTGTCACGAATCAATCTTTAAGCCTTTGAATACCAGTCAGTTAGTTACAAATTTAGTTCGTCATTATGTGCATATTCTGCGTGGTGCTTAGTGCATATTATCAAGTACGTACCTACGTGCGCATAATATATAAATATTTGTGCGAATTTTTTCCACACATAAACAATAATGAAGGCTTGGGCTGTACTTCTTCTGTTTGCTGTGGCTAATGCCAAGCACGAACAATACAAAGGGTAAAATATCTATATTTATTTTCGAACTAACAATATTAATTGCAGTGTTTTTTTTTTCAATTTCATGTGAGTTCCTGAGTTAATAAAGCATCGACGTTGCAGGGAATAAGTATTCGCCTTAAAATTTAATAACTTGAACAAACTTAGTTCTATCATTGACTGCATAAATGATATCGTAAATTGCAATTTTAGGTGCTTATTTGTGAAGAAAAACATGATTAAGCATTTTTGACAATAATTATAAATATTTCGAAGTATACAGAGGATTTGGAACCATGATTGTAGTATTCCAGTTTTAAATTACCTTTTAAGCCGATTATCAAAAAAGGAGAAGATTCTCAATTCAACTGCACTATATTTTTTTAACGATTTAAGTGATTTCTCACACAATTTTGGAGAAAAAGTACCATCTGTAAAGGTGGACAGATTGGATATAAAATTTTAATGTTACTAATCAGACTACATTATGGTGGTAACCTTGAGCTTGTAGTATTCTACAGTGCAAACAAAAGGAACGAATTTTTTTTTATCACATTTAATTTCTTCATAATAGTTTCTGAAGTCGGGGCTACAATTCTTCTACAGAATGTCTTAGCACCTACTTTAGAAGCTGTAACGTGGGAATTATTTTATTCTTTATATTTTTATGAAGTATGCATTTACTTTTAAGGACAATTTTAAATTTTATTAAATATAACCTAAAATTAAGCATGATAATTTTTTTATAGGATAGGGTTATAACAGCACACAGTCCACTTGATCGTAAGTGGTTGCTGTGACCAATAGACATTTTCATTTATCCTCAACAAAGAATCAAAATGCAGATGCGTCGTCACCCCTGAGGACTAAAATGGAATGCCTTTTTTTCAGTAAAATACGTCTCCGGTTTTCTACACTCACCATACGAAATACAGCACTGTCAAGCTGCCATTTTACGCTGGTATTTTGTGCGACCATAGGCCTTCCCCGGTCGATATGACCCATTCGTGATACAACTATACTACTTTAATAGCTGCGGCATAGCTCTACCACGTATAATATTATTATGTTAGGAGATTTTAATGGAAGGGTTGGGGTGAAGAGGTCTGGTTATGAAAGGATATTAGGAACGTTTGGCGATGAAAGAATAAATGAGAATGGTGAAGACCTCCTCACCGTATGTGTGGAAAAGAATCTTTTTGTGGCGAACACTTTCTTTCGCCATAAGAGGATTCACATGTATACATGGGAAAGAGGGGATGATAGAAGCATGATAGATTTTATAATTGTGGATGAAAGAATGAGGAGCGCAGTGGTAGATACAAGGGTTTACCGGGGGTCCAACGTAGGGACGGATCATTACTTGGTCTTATGTCGAATTAATGGTCTATTCAGACGTTGGCGGCATCGGACATCGGTGTCTACCACTGCGTTACAGCGTATAAGAATAGAGAGGTTACAAGATGAAGGTGTGAAAGAGAAGTATAAATGCAGATTGAGGGAAAATATAAGTGGGTTGAATAATTATGTATGAATGATTTAGAATTGAAGAATGTATGGAATAATATTAAGAAAGTTTTGGTGGATGCAGCCACCGAAGTATGCGGTGTAAGTAAGAGAACGAATGAAAGGAAAAGTAATACGTTGTGGTGGGATGATGAGGTACGGATGGAAGTTGAAGCAAAGAAGAGAGCATGGCTAGATTTACTAGCAACTAAAGCTGGTAATTCTGGCGGTATGAATGATGAGATTGAAAGAAAAAAGGCAGACTTTAGACGTATAAATAAGAGAGTAAAAGAAGTTGTTGAAAGGAAAAAGCAAGAAAGGATAGATAAGATTGATAGAAGGATATCTGATAACTTCCAGGCAAATATTAAATGTTCTGGAAGCTCGTAAGAACTGCCAGGGGAAATTCAAAACAGCCTAGAATAAATGCTATACGAGACGAGAATGGCTGCATGCTGAATGATAAAGTTTCGAATTTAAAGAGATGGAAGGAATACTTTGAAAGCGTGTTTAAGAGTGAAGAGTCGTCTGGAATAAGTGAAATAGAAATTCCGGAAGAAGTGGAGAGAGGTAGGGAGATAAGTGTAGATGAAATAATGAAAGCAATGAAAAGCATGAAAGCAGGTAAGGCAGCCGGATATGATAGAGTATCACTCGAAATGCTGAGGGCTGGTGAGGGTGTGGTTACGGGCCTGCTGCACACCTTGTTTAATTTGTGTTGGGAACTGAAACGGGTACCGGAAGACTGGTGCAAAGCCGTTATAGTCCCAATATATAAGGGAAAGGGGTCGCAGCAGGACTGTAAAAACTACCGTGGTATCAGCTTGCTTAGCATTGTGGGTAAACTGTATGCTAAGGTGTTAATTGAAAGAGTTATGGAAGAAACTGATGGAAAAATTTGGGATGTGCAAGCTGGATTTAGAAAGGGGATGGGGTGTACGGATCAAGTCTTTTCCATGCGCATGATAGCGGAGAAGTTTTTGGCTAAAAACCAGAAAGTTTTTTGTGCGTTCATGGGCTTGGAAAAGGCTTATGACAGAGTGGACAGGAATGTGTTATGGCAAACACTGAACTCATTTGGGTTGAGCGCTGGCTTGATACAGGCATTAAGATCTCTTTATAGGGACTCTAGTGCTTGTGTCAGGATCAACGGGGTCTACTCGGACTGGTTTGGCATTCATAAAGGTGTCAGACAGGGATGTGTGGCTTCCCCGTGGCTGTTTAACTTATTTATGGACAGTTGTTTGCAAACTTTGAAAGTTGAAGAATGTGGGTTGAGAATGGGTGAGTCAACCGTCAAATGCCTTTTGTACGCCGATGATCAAGTCATATTTGCATCGTCGGCGGCCGAGTTGCAAATGATGGTTACTTTAATGAATTGGTCATTGAAAGAAAGGGGTATGAAAGTGAACGCAAGTAAGACGAAAGTGATGGTTTTTGAAAGAGAAGAAAGTAAAACTTTATGTGAAATAAGAATAGAAGGGGAGTTGATTGAGCAAGTGGATGAGTTTGTATATTTGGGATGTTTATTTAGCAGGGATGGTAGATATGATAAGGATAGAACGACGAGTGAACGCAGGAAATAGAGTGAATGGGGCTCTACACGCTATTATGAGGAGTCAGAATGTGTCAACTAAGGCACGTATGGCAATTCATAATGCTGTGTTAGTCCCTACTTTAATGTATGGTAGGGAAAGTTGGGTCTGGCAGAAGAAGCATGAGAGTAGAATAAATGCTGTAGAAATGCGTTCCTTAAGGAGTATGCTAGGGCTGAATCTGAATGACAGGGTGAGAAATAGTGTGATAAGAGAAAAGTGTGGTTTGCAAGATGACGTTGTGACAAGGATTAAGAAAGGAATGCTTCGGTGGTTTGGTCATGTAGAAAGAATGAACGAGGAAAGAGTGACAAAGCAAATTTATGTTGCGGAAGTGAACGGCAGGGTCGAGAAGGGACGCCCTAGACGAAGGTTTATCGACCAAATCGGCGATACATTAAAAATGGGCCAGATTAGGAGTACCCTTAACCGACGAGCGTGTATGCGTAGATATATGGATGTAAAAGAGGCGAGAGAGGTGTGTCAGGATCGCGCCAAATGGAAGTCCGTAGTCTCTGCCTACCCCTCTGGGTGACAGGCGTGAGTGTTTATGTATGTATGTATAATATCTATAAAATTGATTTTATTTAAGGTGTAGTATTTGCTTATTTATTAAAGTATTGTTAGGGTATGCTCAACGTCGCAAGATACAAAACCAAAAGAGGCTATTATTTTTATTTTTATTTGAAAAAAAAAATGTATTCTTATAATTCTTCTTACGGTGGTAGAGCCACGCGGCAGTTCTTGCTGTCGCGCGGATGGGCCGGCTCGAACCGTGGTGGTACCACAACCTCACAGAAAACCAGCGTGAAGTAGCGGTTTAGCTCTGCGTTTCACTTGGTGAGTGCAGGTGGCCGGAGGCCCTTTTTACTGGAAATGAGGCATTCCATCTTAGTCCTCACGGGTGACAACGCATCTATATTTTGATTTGTAATAGAGGATAGATGTTTATGGGCCGCAGCAACCATTTACCATCAGGTGGACTATGTGCTCGTTTTTCACCCTTATCCAAAACAAAAAAAAAGATATTTATTTGGAAAGAGAAATAGGGCTGTCTCTTACATTTATCGTTTTGTTTCATTTGTCTTTTTGATCTGTGCGCATCGATAAATTAATTTTTTTGAATTAATTCAGTAGTTGAACATTGGTGGACTGTGTGCTGTGTGCTCGTTTGTCACCCTTATCCTATAAAAAAATTAATATCATATAACATAGTTAAGTCTCGTACTAATAAGATAAAGCCAGGAGAACAATGTGCTGCGTGTGGTGGCGGCGAAAATGAGCCCACTGCCCCATATCATCCCATGTAAATTGTAGAAGGCAAAAAAGTTTAATAATACAGGAGATGGGAATCAGAATTCTCGTGGTAACAAAAAAAAATGAATAAAAACTGCGGTGGCCAGCCTGTAAAACAACTGTGTGTGGCAACTATGGCAAACACCTCACATATTGCCTCATCCCTATGATGCCTATATTTTGGCTGTTATGTGTTAATGAATAAATTATAAGAATAATTTTTAAAATGCTTTGTTCCAGATGGAAGTCGTATTATGTCAAACCTTCCAACAGAGTACAACTGGAGGTTTTGGGTTCAGTCGTTGAGAAATGTGGCATCGACTTTTTAAGTAATCCAGCTTTAGAGCGAAATGGACTTGCGCTCGTGAAACCTGAACTACATGAAGAGTTCATAAATTCTATGGAAGAACATGGTATCGCTTACAAGCTCCACGCTGAAGATGTAAAAGCGTAAGTATTCTTTTTTCCATTTTAAAATATTATTAAAATATTAAAGAGAAATTACCCTTTATTGTTACAAAACTTCTTCACAATATAGTGCGTCCCATTACGGAGTTTTAGATTTAGACGACACTTTTAACCAACAGTTATTCGATCACGATAGTATTTCAAGTCCCAATGCACCTAAGCAGCTAAATAACTTGAGTTTTTATCACTATTTTCAGTGTTATCTTTTTTATTTCTTAGAAATTTCACAAAATCGCATTCCACTTCTAACAATTTTTTAAAATATAATATAGGACCAGTAACCGACCGAACATTAAATTTATGCCAAAACTCCTGTTAAATAATTTGCGACTGTTTAGAAGAAACATAGTTGTAAGTTGTTAATTGGTCCATAATAGCTAAGACTTAACTACTTACGTTAAGTCTCTTTAAGGCTTGTCTTGTGGCTTAAACAGAAAAATTAAAACGACAATATTTTCGCCATCTGGTAGGGGCTCACTGTATGTAAGTACAGGTGAAATCTTTACTCCCCCACTCTCATAATCAATACAGTAATTGGACACTACCGGAGATAGGCGCAGGACCAGCGGCTTTAGGAGATTTCCGAGGAATGGGGGTGGAACACGTTCAACTTCCTGACTCTAGGCTGGTGTTGAGAAATATTCGACAGAAAAAAGGCGATAATTTATTTTAGAAAATATTCGAATTAAAGCATTCTAATCTATTTCCTGATTTTTATCACGTGGTAGAGCCATGCTGCAGCTATATTAATAGTATAGTTGTAACACGAATGGGTCGGCTCGACCGGGGAAGGACCACGATCTGACAGAATACCAGTGTAAAATAGCAGCTTAATGCTGCTGCGTTTCGTATGGTGAGTGTAGAGAACCGGAGACCCATTTTACTGGAAAAGAGGCACTCCATCTTAGTCCTCATGGGTGACAACGCATTTGCATTTTGATTCGCAAACGAAGATAGATGTAGATGATTATGGGCCACAGCAACCACTTACCATCAGTTGGACTGCGTGCTCGTTTGTTACCCTTATTCTATAAAAAAGAATTCGTTTCTCTATGCTGCCTCTTACGACATCCACGTGATGAAAAACGCCACAATACGGCGTATTTAATTTTATAGTGTATTTTTATACGAGTATGTATAGTCCCGGAAAATTGTTTAGCTTCATCGTAACATAACTTATAAATACTATTTATTATTAATTTCAAATATTTCTTATTTTCTTGTTCTGTACACGTTAAGCGATTACGTGATTAGCTCATTGGTAGAATTGCTTGGATAATTTTGTGATATATAACCGAAAATGCATATCTTGATTGTTTTGCGATATGCAAAACAAACCAACTAAATTAAAAAATAATTTTATACATTGATAAAGATGCTAATGACATAAAACAATTTTATTTTAATTAGGTGTATTTATTTAAGGAAAATTATTTGTAAATGATTCATAAAAATGGAAGCAATTTCAATTTATCATATTTTTTTTTATAAGAAAGGTGATAAACGAGCACACATTTGATATGATGCTAAGTAGATGCTGTGATCTATAGATATCTACCCTCGATTAAAACTCAAAAGGCAGATGCGTTATCACTCATAAGGATTGACTGAATGCCTAATTTTCATTAAAAAGGGACACTCAATAAAGAAAACAGAGCACCATTAAGCTGCTATATTACGCTGGTTTTCTGTGAAGGCGTGGTCCTTCCCTGGTCTAGCTGACCTGTTCATTCTACAACCAGCTGCCTTTTTTTTTTTGCGGATAAAAAATCATCAAATGACGCCTTTCGCTCTGGGTGGAGCGGAAGGGAGTGTCAGACTTTTACTGACTAAAAACCATCCGTGTTCCTTCAGTGCCCTTACGTTCCGGAGCCGCGGTATCTCTTTCGAACAGCCCGCAGCCCCGGACAACCAGCTGCCTGACTCCACCACCAATGTCATTTATTTTTATATTCCTATTACAATCATAATATATATATATATATAAATCATTTTTTATAATATTAGTTCAATAAACAAATGTACGGTTTATGAGGTGGTAAGTAACTACTTCATCCCGTGGACAACTGCAGCCAACTTCAAAATAAGATGCTAAACACGCCTTGTCACCCCTAGGGTATGTGGCAGCGCTGTCGTCACGCCATAAGCGAAACACATTGAAGCCTAAATCGCGCTAACAAAGTTCCGAAGTTAAAGCAGCATATATAGAATAGCTCCGAACTACCAATCGGAGCGTTGGCCGCTCCCCGGGTAGAACACCTTGCCCGGCGGGAGATCTCCCCTTTTCCTTCCACCGACCAAGAAGAAAAAAATAAGAAAAAATGCCATAAAGCCTGTACTATTATTATATATTTTTACTCTTAAAGTCAGAACACAGCAGTGACTGCATTGTACTTCACTTACCGATACGAGGCTGCCACCTCTGAAAACCATTCTTTCCCTTAGTTAGTCGGTTTTCAAGTAGCCATTCACAGAAGAAAGTTTCGTTTGCGATACTACTTATTTTTCTTTTAGTTCAGAATTACGAATATACTGTAATATATATTTTTAATCAATTTTGTTTACAGACAATTGGACATCGACGATAAATTAATTGAAACAAGACGTCGTGAAAGCAACGGAAAGGAAAACGGAAGAATTCCTATCGATAACTATCCGGAACTTGAGGAGGTGTGGTATTAACTAGAGTGGGGTGCCTTAGTACAACGTCTTAAATCGAAAAATATACACAACTATTTTATACTTCCAAAAAAAAAAAATTATGGAATTTATCTCCTAAACTCTAGTATAATTTATTCCAGTCATAAAATAGAACAAATAAAAAAAAAGTTTCGAATTTTAAAAATCAAATTTATCTTAATTCGTTATTATAGCGAAAAGAATCTGGTTATACATTTCTTTTGTCCTGTGTCCCTTTAGGTAATTTTTTTCTAATTACACATATGTTATAGGTAAAGTGTACTGTATAAGCACTTAATTTTTTCTGGTAATTAAACTGAATGGTTAATAAACATTACAACCTCTTAAAATGGAGGGTTATTCTTCTAAATTATTTCAAATCTGTAACTGTTGACTATGAGATTGAAGATTATCATAATGATAGTACTCTGCTTGCCGGTTTTCATTACTACGATATCATCAGGCGATATCGACAGTACATGAAAAAGACTCTTCTTAAACGGTAATAGTCTTTCTAATTCAAAAGTCCCTTAACCGCAGCGCCTCAGTCTTCGCAAAATTTGACATTTGCTGTCAACTTCCATAGATTGAATTTTGGTTAAATAGAACAATCCCATCTGATGGTAAGTGGTGATGTAGCCTAAGATGGTAAAGCGCACTGACTTAACAAAAGCCTATTCACTGTTGCCTTGAAGACACCCGCATTGTAGTTGGATCGAAAAACCGCTGACAATTTATTCCACTCCTTTGCTGTACGCATGACTATCGATGTAGCAAACCCTTTGATTCTAATGAAAAGATACTTAAACAATAAGTATTGATCATGAGATGTCATGGTGCTAGTAAGAATACTAGGCCATAGGCCATAGACTTAAAATAATTGTATTATTTTCGATCTGAAAGCGGATGAAGACTTACAAAATTACATTACATTCATACATACAAGTCATATAAACTATAGCGTGTAAAAATAAAACGATTTTATTGCATGTTACAGATCGATGAATATATTGAGTACGTTGCTGAACAATACCCTGACCTAGTAACTATAGTATCTCCTGGAAACACATTTGAAGGTCGTCCAATAAAATATTTAAAAATCTCAACGACAAACTTTGAAGATGAAGATAAGCCAGTCATTGTAATTGACGCCGGTTTCTTCGCTCGGGATTGGATCACTCCTCCTGTACTTTTATATGCACTTCACAATCTTACTCAGTCTAATATGCTACATGATTACGATTGGATTCTAATGCCCTTAGTCAACCCCGATGGATACAAATACAGCTTTACAAATGTAAGTATAAAAAAAAAACTTTAAGAAACTAAAAACATTCGTGAGTGTCGTGGAACACACAGTTGGAACGAAGTTCCTTTTATAGTATATTATATATTGATAAACGTATTATATTATTGATTAACAAATATTGTTTAATAAATTAATTATTAGCGTCTATTAAAATGAAGCGTCATTTTAAAAAAAAACACTATGACACAAGGGGTAGTGACGAAAATATCTTACACTTTTTGTCACCTAGCTCCCTTCCGCCAAACACGTACCGTCCGATTAGGAACTTCTTTCCAAAAATATAGGTGGTAGGACTTCTTTTTCGCCTAGGTCCGTCCGAGTAGTTACCACACACTTACTTATTTCTGCTGCCAAATAACAGTGCTTGTACTGTTAATTGGCGAAGAGAGCCAGTGCAATTACAAACTGTGTGTTAATCACTAGCCCCCAGAAAGGGCGTTATTAAAATGGGAATATCAAAGTCCACTGCTGAATATTGGTCTCCTTTATAATTTGCCTCATATGGAAATATTTTTCATAGTGGCCATACTTTGGTTGCTGCTAAACCATAAACTTCCAGTATAGTTTGCTTTAGGGGAGATATTTGCCGTTTTACATGCTAGCAGGTGGGTTGGTAACCGTAGTTATTGGAACGAAGTTCCTTATCAGACGGTACGGGTTTGACGGATGGGAGATAGGCGACAAATAGTGTAAGACTTTGTCGTCACTACCCCTTGTGTCATAGTGTAGACGGCCTTGGCGGCAAAATAAGGACGTGAGATGGAATAATATCCATCTTCCTAGCACTTTTTTATTATCTTGCCATGAAAGAACTATTATTTTGTTTCAAATGACGCTTCATTTTAATACAATCACTATTTTATTTAATACTTCATTTAAAAACGCTAGTAATTCATTTATTTGTATTTATTAATCAATAATATAATACGTACGTTTATAAATAATAATATACTACGCAAGGAACTTCGTTGCAACCGAGTGTTCCATGACACTCACGCATTTTTTTTATTATTTTGAGTTGCAAACAGAAAGACGCCGCTGGCTATCTCCTGTTTCTATTTTCTCCGTCGCCTCTTACAATGTGACGATATATGGTAATAATAAAACGAACTTTATATTTTCAGGATCGCTTCTGGATTAAGACTCGTTCTACGAATCAACATTCATTAAGTAGTGTTTGCCCAGGTGTAAATGCCAACAGAAACTTTGACTTCTTTTGGAATACATTAGATACAAGTTATACACCTTGTTCCGATAAATACGCCGGTAGCACACCGTTTTCCGAGAAAGAGGTTATCCTTATGAGACTTAGCCTCAATAAATTCATTCCTCGCATGCTTCTATATATCTCTATGCACAGTTATGGAAGTTTAATCCTATATCCCTGGGGACATGATGGCTCCCTCTCTTACAACGCGTTTGCTTTACAAAGTGTAGGATTATCTATTTCTAATGAAATTTATGCGAATTCTTTACCGGAATTTCCCAAATACATCGTTGGGAATTCAGCTTTAGTCACCGGAATTAAAACATCAGGTACTGCAATTGACTATGCTCATTCTGTAAAAATACCACTGACATTTAATTTAGAATTACCAGGTATCGGAGAAGGTACAGAAGGATTCCACCTGCATCCTAAGTATATTAAACAGGTAGCGAAAGAAACATGGGCTGGAATTGTAGCGGGCGCTAGAAGAGCTGAGGAGTTATATGGAAAGATTAAAAATTAATTGACTATAATCTGCTCGAACTAATGTTTGAATTTTAAATAAATCGTGTAAAAATCATAAATATGCACATTATTGCCACCTTTTTAACCTTCATGACCACCATCGTCTTCATCATTGGATTGTCCCTCCATAATATATTCATCTATATAAATTCAAAATTTAAAATATGTTTATTTTAAATTTTGAATTAAAAATGTGCCCATACAAAGCACATTTCGAAAGACAAGATAACTACGTTATCGCTTTTAATATAAAATTTAACTAAAAAATTAACTTACAATCCACCTGTAGTTAAATGGCTACTACAACTCATAAACAACTGCAATTAAATTTAAGTAGGCTACATATACATTGTCACTTCTGAGTATTAAGATAGAATAACCCACAGATTTAACTCTAAAACCCTAAATTATACTTTCCTCTTTATCTTTTTAATGGGATACAACAGTGCCAGTGAACATGACGTAGTAGTGGACGTAGAAATAGGTGAGAGTGTGCTTCCTACTCAGACGAATTCCTACGCAGAAAAGGAACTACTAGCTATTAGTAACAAGTCCCTTCTGCGGGAGATATTACGAGAAGAAGCAATAAGAAACTTACAAGTAGACCATTCCTTCCGAAATATTAGAATTTAAACTACAAAACATAAATATACACAAGATCAAAATATGTTTTGAAGAAGCTCATTATGTCATGAATTTATTTTAGTTTTAGTTTAAATAACCGAGATTCAGAGACATACGTGTTACACTTGCATTTTCACGTGCAAGAGCCATGCAGCAGTTACATATTATATTATTATATTATAAATAGAACTTTAATGCTGCAGTGTTTCGTATAGTGAGTGTAAATAACCGGATCCCTTTTTTACTGGAAACGTGGCATTCCATTTCAGACACTAGTGGTGACAACCATTTGCTTCTCAATCGACGTTAGATATACATCTCTATAGGCTACATCAACTGGTTACTATCAGTTGGTCCGTGTGTCCGTGTATCACTCTTATTTTATATAAAAAAAACAATTTACATATACATGTCATTACAAACTTTTTTCAAAGTCTCAGGAAATAAAAATGTAGTTTATGCACAAGCTTCGACCCTGAAACGGCAATTTAGTAAATAGTTTCTGTAACCACTACTAACCAACCAAGATCTTGTGACGTTAACGTGACATGACAATGAACTGTTAATCCATTCAAATGTTAGGCAATAATACTGGGTAGTCATCGCACCATTAAAAAACTGGACACTAGAGCTCCACCCTCGATCATTTTGAATGGCTCTTTTTGGAACTATGCCGCTCTATTCTGAAAAAAAAAATATTTGTTTATTTGTTTATTATTTTTAATAAAGGTATGAAGGAATAGTCTGATTTAATGTCTACTTTGTAAATTTGAAACTTATAATATATGACTAAACCTATTAAGCTGAAGTAGATCAGGCAATAGCGCTCGGTTTTAATTTCAGAAAACGCTTGCTAACCGAGTTCGATCCCGGCTGGCATCTAGGAAATTGTTGATTTCAATTTTAATTTCATTTCAATTTTAAGTTTGATTTCAATTTTATTTTAATCTTGGCTTAAAAATTGACTCCACTTTGAGCTGACATGCTCAAGTGATAAATGTTAGAAAGAAACTCAACGGTGCTCTGCAGGGTCTTTACTGCCTGAAGCACTTTCTTTCATCCAGGACTAAAACATTAATTGTGCAATCCTTAATTTTTTTCCTCATTGATAACGGTGACGTCTTTTATTTTGACTTGAATGCAGGTCTTCTAGACAAAAATCATCGTCTTCTTAATAACTGAATTATCGTTGCCAACTTAAGTGGCTGCCATTCGTCAGCGACGTTGTATGCGCGCACTCACAACCCTTTACTCCTTTCTGATGTCTTCTACTTCCTCCTCTTACTTAACATCTCACTTTCAGTACCTTTGTTCTAGCCATTACAGAAACCTGCGTTCTTCGAATAACCTTTTACTAAAGTGCCCCTCTCATAAATCTGACTTCCTGCATTCTTCCGTCACTGTACAGTCTGTTCTCTTCTGAAACGCACTCTCTTTTGAAATTAGAACGGCTAACAATCGTTATGCGTTTAAGAAAAAGTTTGCGAACGTTATTTAAATAAAATGTCAGAATAACCTCATTAGTAGTATTTATTTATGTATTTATATAAATACTAGCTGATACCCGCGAGTTCGATCGCGTTGCTTGATATATTAAAAAAACACACATCACTGAACACGTTGTACTTATAAAAATCGTTGTTTCTTAACATTTTAACATTGCTTTATTAAATGAAGATATTGCAATAATTTTTAGATAAGGGTTAAGTGTCTATGAAATAAAACTTAATAAACCTAATTGAAAAATATCCAATAGTTTTCCGTGATGCGCGCACAACTGAAAGCCCTATCATTTTATTTATATAGATATAATTATAAAACGGATGCACTTTATGTAATTTATATATACATATTTCATATATAATAATTTGCATTAAATAACTAAAAAATTGATATGTAAGTTCATATAAGGGTATATATGTATTATTTTCTTTATATTTATATATTTTAATTTATATTTATGTATCTTATAAAATATCTTTAAAATTTCAAACACCTACTTCATGTTTTTATCTCTGCATCATCCAAAGGTAATAAATGCCAACCGGCATTAAGCCCTTCTGTACATCGTCTTATATGAAGTTTAATAAATAAATAAAAATTTTTGAAATTAAAAATTTTGTACAAACGACTTCAATACAAATTATAAAGAATAACTCAAAAACTATTCGTCAGACCCCTATCAAATTTATTTGACCACATGTAAAGCACTAGCTTTCAAATGAAAGGACGGATATCAGGTCTCCGCCCCCTCTGGGCTCTTCGGACCATTGTCTGATTCGGAGTACGGTGCCACTCACGCTCCCATCGCAGTTGCGATCTGCAGCTTGCCGCCGTGTTTGGCACTATAGGTCGGCCGATTGGGACGGGATGCGATCTTTTTTTGCATCCTACACTTGGGGATGGGTTTGCTTCTCGCCGGAAGATCCCAGCGTTGTTGCCGATTCTGTTACTGATGTGCAGTTTAATCCGTAGAAGACACAAGTTTGCGCGTTTACCGCTAAAAAGAACCCCTTTGTCGTATCTCCTTAGATTCAAGGCATTCCCCTTGCTGCCTCAGCTAGCATCGAATAGTGTGCAGTTTCGTGGTCACTCGGAGGGAAGGCCAAATTGGCCTCTTAAAAGCTTGGCGTGCTCAGCAGAGCGAGACAGTATTTCATGCGCGCACATCGCTTGCAACTTTACAAAGCGCAAGTTCGGCCTCACATGGAATACTGTTCTCATCTCTGGGCCGGGGCACCCCAGTTCCAGCTCCTTCCACTTGACCGCATCCACCGCAGAGCCGTTCGAATCGTCGACGACCGAGTTTTTACTGATCGGCTCGATACACTGGCACTGCGTAGGGATGTTGCATCCCTTTGCATTTTCTACCGAATTTACCACGGGGAGTGCTCTGAGGAATTGTTCAGATTAATTCCAGCCGCCAAATTTCACGAACGCAAATTGCATCAAAACTCACGATACCATCCTCACCATCTGGATGCTTGGCGGTGCATAACTGTACGTTTTACTAGGAGTTCTTCCTTGTACAACTTCCCTGTGGTATTGAATACCACCGGCGATTTTTTCGGACCAATACGACTTAGGGACCTTCAAGAAAAGAGCTTACAACTTTCTGAAAGGCCGGCAACGCATCTGCATTTCCCCTGGTGTTATGGTTGTTCAAGGGCGGCGGTAGTCACTTACCATCAGGTGAGCCGCATGCTCGTTTGCCCCCTCTTCTATAAAAAAAAGACATGCTCAACGGAAAATAAAACCATCGAGAAAGCTATATCTGCTTCCATGAAAATATTTCGAAATTATGAAGTAAAGAAGGCAGAATCTTGTTAATGCCGTGTCGCGACATCAAACGTCACCGCGTGCGGCGCTTTTGACCAGATGTGGCACGTACCAAGATAGCGCGACACAGAGGCCACCTTATCTAAGCAAACAGACTATAGAAGTGTAAAACTGGAACCATACGTTCTTTTTATTATGTAGGTATCCAATAAGAAAGGATTTTTGAAAATTCAAACTAAGAGGATGAAATAGGTTCTTACAGTTTCTCCGAATTAATTTATTCTACGGAAAGTATGAACTAACTGAAAAATGTACTGAACGTACCCGGTAAATATAAAAAATAAATATGTACTTTACGGTATTTCAAAGCAACCCTTGCTGGGGGTGGGGCAGATATATTTGGCGACGACGACCTTATTGACGACGTTCCGTATGGCCAATGATTATCGTGACTACACTGACAAAGCAGGAGTTATGAGAAGAGCCTTTTGATCACATCATTAATAGAAGATACATATCGCCTAGTACGCTATTTATTTTTTCCGTTAAAACTAGAAGACTTAGTTTATAAGACTATTTTTGAAAAGATTGACAACTAGTTTTCCTCAAAGAAATGTATGTTTGCGGATAGATATATTTTTTATGAAGCGGAACAGAGACCAGGCGAAGACTTAACTGAATGGGTCACCTGAGTTCGTCATCTAGCACAGCGGCTTTAAATTAGAACTTGAGATGGTATTAAGAGACAAGTTTTTGATAGAATCGGCGAATGCGAAGGCAAAAGAAAAGTTTTTTAGTGCAAACATCGATAGCTTGACATTCAACAAAGCGTTGGAATTAGCACAAAGCGCTTGAGTTGCAATTCAAAAGTCATTGCAAGAATAGGGACTAACCATATCATCAGCGGCAGAGCAACCCGTTTTGCTTTACGAGCCCAAGAAAATTCTGTTCGTCAAAATACGAAAAAAACATATCTTGCTTGGTTTGTGAGTGTAAGAATCATACTAAAGTATATGCGAATTATTTTTGTCAAAAATGTAATATAAAGGGCATTTAAAACGTGATTATAAGAGCAACAATTATTTGCAGGTGGAT